GTGGTGTTGGCAACCTCACTTTCGGCGGAAGCGATAGACAAGGCCTGGAGATGGATGGCAAGTTGTCGAGAAAACGTAGTATCATGCTCGGTTCGAGAAGCGTCCAGTACGAAGAGAAACAAAGGAAGGCATTTCTGTTGCAAATGAAACTGTAGATAATGGGGGTGTGCACGGCAGGAGGGAGAGGATAGGGAGACCCGGCCAAAGATTTGAAGTACGCACAGAGTCAAAAAGGTAGCCTAAGGCAGCAGAGCACGCAAAACCTACACGAGCCCACAGAAGCAACACGCACCCTGCGGACAACGGCAACAATAAAGAGCATCAGCCACAAGAACAAACCGTGCTGTACTTGAATACAAAACGGCGGCGAGAGGGATGTGAGCAAAACATAGGACACACCTCATTAGGCGTCAAGAGAGGAAGGGTGCTCTGCTGGTGCACCACGAGACGGCGGAGGAGAGAGAGGCGAAAGCGAAATATACAACACACCTCATCGGCCGTCGCGACTGTCAGCGCCACGAGAGATCCGAAGTTACCCGAGGAGGGGTTGTTCCGTAACATGGCGTCGCAGAAGTCCACCACTTTTGCCTCGGAGAGACTTAGCCCGAGCACCTTGGACCCGCAGCCCAGGAGAGACTCCCATCTGCGAGGTCACAAAGAAGCACGAAGAAACCCACACGAACCAATGAAGTCGTGCCTTCTTTGTTCGAAACGGAATATCGTACGAGTATGACCCCACAAGGTTGGATAAAACGCTCGTGGTACAGGCATGGGAAGCTTGGGATAAAATAAATTTTCGACACGCTCATGTCGACTCGCTGTCATTGAGATGGCTGGCCCACGGGGTCATCACAGAAGGACGCCGTCCGGCAAATGACTACAGCGACCAGCGAAGTACCACCCAGAGCTGGGAGTGGGTGTCCGCTGGTTGTTCAACAACCTACCCGTACTGCTGTTGCAGCGGAGACGCAAGTACCACTGTTCAACCAAAACGTGCTCACCTACGCTCTTCCTTGTACAATAGAATCGATGAGGTCCCCGTACTGCATAAGTTGGCGACAGGTATTGTAAAAACTCCTCGGCTGCTGTGTTGTTGTATCGACACGACAGCTGTGTGTCGTTTTTTTTTTTTTTCTTAATAGAGGGAATCCACGTGTTGTTGAAATGACGTGAAAGATTGACATTTCAGGAAGTTTTGACGTGAAGAGGTTGCGCCGCTTTTTTGGGGGCAAACTCTGACGGCGAAATTTTTGTGAGGAAGCGTCAAAATTAAATTTCACCCAAACTTAAAACGACGCGAAAAGATTGACGCTTCAAACATCGCCAGACTGTGGCTCACACACGCTTGCTCTGCTGCGGTCTGCTGTGCGCGGTCAGCAGCGAACACATTGGCCATGCCTATACTGATTGCTCCTAGCGGTCCTGCACCCACGCGTCTCGGCAGTTCTCACGGCGGCCAAGTGGCCAGACGCGCGTGTTCGGCGCGCGCGTTCGGTAGATGCGCCGTCGCGATTGCGCACGGGCTTTCAGCAGCAAAAAGGGGCATAGGCAGGGGAGTGATTGGGGGAGTCTCGCCCTCGAAGGCAGCACATGGAGAGGAGTAAGGGAGGGTACACGGACTTTGCCAGTCAGTAGGTGCATTTCGCCCGCCCCCTCACGGGGTTCGGTGCTCGCTGCCGCAGTGACATCGGTATATACACAGCAGTGCAGCGAGCAGCTGCCTTACTCATCAGCAACGAACGGCAGTTTGACGCCTGGGAAGTCGCAGTTTGACGCCTGGGAAAAGTCGCCGCGGCAAAGGAGGGAAGGTCGGCGGGATGAGGCGAAGGGGTACACCTAGTCTCCTGGGAGCCTGGGGGTGTGAGTCTTCGCTTCGGAATGTCGACCCTGGGTGGCAGCCCGAACCAACCTTGAACTCTACCTCCACCATTTTTTTTTTTCACCTCTCACGTGTCAACGGGCACACGCGGTGCGAATTTTTTCCCGTCAAAACCCTCAACCGTCACTTTATGTTGGCGTCAATCCTCAAAGGTCAAAATTCCGCGTCAATCCATAGTGGATACCCTATAATATGACACAACGAATCCATCTCTATTTAGAAAAGAGTCTGAGACAGATTAGCAATGAATTCACAGCGTCAGAAAGTTCCTGTATGTCTACGATTTCCCAGACAGCATATAGGGACATCTCCCCTGCGGGTAACAGGCTCAACAAAACCGTTTGGTAGCTGTCTTGTGTGTCTCATATATGTTATGTTGGGAAGGTGCAGAAGAAATGTGTTAGGTACTGTTGTTGGGTAGTCGTTGTTGAAAGCCGCGGTTTTCGAACCACAAGTTGACGTGCAGCAGAAGTCTAATCAATCTACAGGAGAGCTCTGCTGCTGTGGTATTTGCTGCTGTTCAGCTCACGTATCATTCCTTTCGCAAGACTTCAGACCTACACCAACGTTGAAAAATGCGGAAGGCGAACGAGAAATTTGCTTCAGCGACGATGATCTGCATGTTAGCCTCAGCAGGCGGAAGCCGCGGGCAGTGAACAACCTGCGGCAGGCGAATGCGACGTGTGTGTAGATATTTATCTCTCCGCCCTGCGCAACAGCCAACAAGCAGGTTCGCTGACTGCTCATCCAGGTCCAAAGTAAACCATCCTTTCAAGACGAGGACAAGGGTGACGCTTTGGCAGCAGGAGCGTCCATTCGAACAGCATCCCTACCGAAACCTCCCCACCGCAGCACCCAAATACAAGTGCAGCGTAGGAGGGGCGTCGAAGAGAGCCAGGAAATACGGAATACAATGGACAAGCAGTCCATACGGTTCACCGAATGCACAGAGAGGCAAAGGCAAGGATAAAGAGCGACCAAGGGACACACCGTGGGTCGGTGCTGCCAAGGCGAACCGTTCCGGTGAGTCCATCAAGTAATCTGGCCAGCTCCTCGCGCATCTTCCCCGTCAAAAGCAAGCACGTGCACTGCCCGCCGAGCAAAAAGAGCGTGTTTGTCGCCCGCGACTTCAGCGACGTTCAGTTGCGTTCAAGGCAGGGGGGCGGCAGATGAGAAATATTGGGGGGTAATACATGTAGTGAAACCGTCGCCTGGTTCAGTTTCGACTTTTCAACGACCGTTTCGACGACATGACCCGCATGACATCACCGAGTGTGACACTGTATACCAGTTTGGCAAGAATTTACAGCACAGCACTCCATAGCATTCGCCAACGTCGTGCAGGAATATCGTACCAAAGTACAGCTTCCTGCTGACCCAAGCCCCTCCCTCAAAGCCGTTGGGTGAACGTTGGATATTGACCGCAGCAGTTTTACTTTACATGTACAACGGCTGTTTCGTGTAGAAGTTGAGGCTGAACCGCGTCGGACACAGTGGTGGGGCCGCGCTTGTTGGGTACGATACAGCTAAAGTGCACAGCGTAGATATATAATACAACATGGCACCGGGTTATTGCAGTTGGTTCAAAAAAGAGAAAACAAACAAAATCTCGTTCCGCGCACATGTAATGTGCACATTACAGCATATGTATGCGCAGCACCATAGGCGCGTCTCAAGGACTGTTGTTTGCCCATCCCGCTTGAAGCCTTTTATGTCATCTTCCACACGTGGGAAAAGCGTGAGAGATTGATCTCTTCCGAAGGGTTCCGTCTATTGTCTGTTCTCTATCTCTGTTGTCAGCACTACAATAATTATTTCGTTTGTCGGCACCAATTTCTTTCGTTTGACATGCCGGGAAAAGCTGTCCTTGGGCGTGTACACGCACGCCGGACTTGCTTCCGAGTCGAGCCTTCTAGTCCGGATGGCGTGCTATTGCTTGTACAGGACAGCTGTCCTATCATCTCCCATCCCTACCTTATGTTTTTGTTGACACCGGGCCTACGTGCAGTAGTTGGGGTTAGGCAACATACCAAGCACCTTCGAGGGACCTGCCGCTTTTTGTCGATCTTGTACACATTTACCAACCCATCCTGAGAAGTTCCTTAGGACCTACAGCAGCAACGTCAACCCCCCACAATCCCCGTAGATCAGTCTTACCGCGTGTCAGGTACATACCACAAGAACGCCCGATCATCTCCACAGGTCAAACCATTAAACCAATACTTGACGGAGTGCGCTGTCCCCAAAGTTCGGCCACGATACCGAATCGCATGGCCGCCATCGGGTACATCTCCAGTTACAGCTGGTCTAGGGCGACCTCGCTCAGTGAGCGTGTACTACACATTTCTGCAGGAAACAGAGAAACATGGTGACACCGCCCTGGATGACGTCACCGGCTGACCAGGGGTTTTCAACCAATCGGAAACCTCCGTATTAAAAAAGAGTGACCAATCGGAAAACTGCGGGCACCCGAGAGACCCTTCTATTTTTCTCCGTAAAGCAAGGCTACATATCAAATGTGCCCACAACGAACCGGTTGTACGAAACAAGCCCAACTCCAAGCACGATCTATACAAAACACAAAGCAGTTTACAAAACGATCACCAAAACTTGACTGAGGCCATGAACGGCCTCAGCAGGTCGACAAACCCCACGCGATTGCTACCGCGACCGCCGCTGCCGCCGCCGCCGGCGTTGCCGCTACCAACAGTCCCGCCCACCCCGCCGCCAATAAGCGCCATCCTACTTTCTTCGTCTTCGTCTGCTGCCGTGCTCGCGCCTCGACTCACGCCCGACGACCTTCTTCTCCTGCCCAGCGTGTTTGTCCTCGACCGGGGCCGAGGGATCTCCTGCGCCCTACCCTCTCGCTGGCCGCTTCGGAACGGCTGCTCCCGGTGCTGGAAACTGCCGCGGCCGTCGCTTTCGCTGTCGTCCATGTCAAGTCGCCCGTCGCTACTGCTGTAGGTGTCGCTGTCTTCCAACGAGTCCACGCTGCTCCGGCCTGGTAAGGTTTTGTCCAGAGTTATTTCTTAGCATCGATATATGTACGTGGTATTGGGGGGTTACGACATGAGAGCATTCAATTGGTCTTGGGTTTAGTAGCAAGGGACGGGGGGGCCAGAGTGGCACGGGGGTGCAGTGGACGATGCTGTCTTACTGCGGCACCAAAGACCCGCACGCAGAATCTACCAACCCACGAGCCTTTGAATGCTCGCCTCAATATTCCTGCACTGCGCGAATCGATCCGCACGTCGTGGTGTCCACTGCCTACGCGGACCGCGACATGAGGCCGACTGCTTTGGGAAAAATGAAACAAAATGACTGCCTCCCTTCTCGCTACCGTAGTGCACGCGATACGACTGAAGAGCTGGGGTTTTAACCCCCCGGCCTCAACTCAACCCTTTCTGCCAGACAGAGAGCGGCTTGACAACCTGCCGTGCTGTGCTCGACACGAAACATCTCGTCTCTGCTCCAGCAGTAGGAGGAAAACAAAAAACACCGCACCCGCACCTGCATCAGCCCGGCCGCCCGCCGCCGTATCCCGCGTGCTCATCGCCACGGTCTCCAAGTAATCCTCGCCACTGTCGTCGTCATAGTACAGGTCCACCCGGGACCCTGCCCTCCTCGACAGCAGGCTGCCGATTCCTCGGCCTTGGCCGAACTCAGCGCCGGCGGTCACCGCCGACGCCGCTGACGACGAACCCCTCCCTCTCCTCCGCCAAGAGTCGCCGGCGCCTCCCACCCGCTCCCCTTGCGCCTCGTTTCTGTCCCCGTCTTCCGCCTTCGTTCTCGCTACCCCGACGGCGGTGTTACCGATGTTCCCGTTTATTCCGCCGCCGCCGCCGCCTCCGCCGTTGTTGCTGCCGCCGTCGCCGATGCTGTGCCTTCCCTGGCTGTGGTGCGTCGGCTGGTCCTCCTTGGCTAGCTTCCGCAGGAGGCTCACGTTGAAGAGCAGGCACGAGACGCCCATCGCGAAAGAAAACGCTAGCTCCACCGCCACAAGCATAAACCTTAGACAGAGAGAGAGAGAGAGAGAGAGAGAGAGAGTACCAGCAGAGGCAAGGCAAAGCACGAAACGTCCACATTGCGTCACGCACCGAACACTCGTCTTTCTTTCTTAATTTCCCGCGAAACCGGCTTTTTTGTACATCTGGACTGGGGCATTCTCTACAAAAATGATTGGAACTTGGGGGTGGTATGTGTTGTGGAACATCTTTCGACGAGAGAGTGTCGTGATGCTTTTGTACTGAAACAAAAAGAGGTGCACGCCTGCCTCCGTTACTTCCAAAAACCGAAAGGTACGCCGCGTGTGCAGCAGCGGTGCCCCCTCGCTCTGCCCTCGCCGACACCGCAATGCAATCTACAACAGCTCGGGGTACGCTGCACTCAACTGGGCAACCGAGACCACAAACCGACACAGACATACGTTTTTCTTCTGTTGCTACCGTTTCTGTCTTTGATCCGGAGAATAGATTCATCTCCCCCATGCCGCCCCCTCACGGGGTCTCAGCTAATGGCATTTAGAAGTGTTTTGTGTTTTCAACCGCACTAAGACTGACGTATTTTCATTGGTCAGCCGGCTAGCGCGGTCGATGCTAATAACAAATACACACACACACACGAACTCTTGACTGGGGCATCTACCCCTCTTCCCCGGTTTATGCAGCACCCTGTACAAACGCCCTCTCTCTGCGAAGACGGGACACACACACGGGCTTTCTCTCCCTTTCGTCCCGAAGCAACTCTCCGCTAAATTGTCCCACCCCAACCGAGCGAGGGGAAAAAAATATTCTCACAGCGTGGCATGCGTTATCGGAGGGAAGTCGTTCCCCCCGTCAGGCGCGTCTCCAAGCAGGAGGAGTATCGAGGCGGCGGCGGCGAGGGAGGAGCTGTTGCCCTCGGGCCCCGGCAGCGGCAGTCCGCTGAAACCGTCAAAAGCGCGGTGGAATCGAAAAAGGAGATCGTCGTCTTCCCCGCCGCCGCCGTCGTCCGCCCGGGCCCCGTAGTAGTAGCGGTATTCGTACTCTCCCTCTGGTGGGTTCCCGAGCAGGGAGGACGTGGAGTTGGCCAGCCACACGGAGAGGCCGTTCAGCGACAGGCGGCGCAGCCCGCGCACCGCGAGGAAGTTGTGTAGGACCCACACCCGACTGCTGCTGCCGCCGTCTTCGGCATCAAACCTTGCCGCCGTCGTCGCTTCCGCTGAAAAATCTGTTGCCGGTGGTGGTACCGCCGGCACCTCCGCCGCCGTCCTCCTAGTGTTCGCCACCCGCGACTCGAGCTGACCAGCATCCCCTTCCACACCAAGCTCTTCCAGCCCGGGACCCGCCGCCGCCGGGCTAAACAGCACCGCCGCGCCGCCGTCCCCGCTCCCCGTGACGATGCCGCGGTCACCAGCACCATCACTACCATCACCGCCGCCGCCGCCGCCGCCGATCTCACCGACACCTTCCACCACCCCTAGTCCACCCCAGCCGCCGCCGGAAGCGTTCTCTCCGTAGCCGCACTCCAGGTCCATGACGGGGAAGTCTCCGCACCGGAACGACACGTCTCCGGGGGAAAGGAGGGCCTCGATGGCCGCGTTTGCCTTGAACGGCGCCAGCCCGGGGGAGAGAAGGGCCGAGAAACCGGAGCTTGTCGCGGGACGCGCCAGAAAAGTCTTGGTGGACGAACGTCGGTGTTGGGGGGGGGGAGGCAGAAGGCGGGCATGGGGGAGGGAGAAAAGATATTGAGGTCGGGGTGGGGGTGGGGGTGATGAAGGTAAACAAACGGTGAATTTTCGAGGGGAGGGGAGTAGGTGGGGTCGACACGTCCCGACCTCGAGGCAAACATGGATTGTATTTCGCAGACATTCGGGTGGGCACTGCTGTAGACAGACAGACGGACAGGTAGGCAGAAAGACAGAGAGAGAGCGAGAGAGAGAGAGAAGGAGGGGGAGATATAGAGAGGGAGAGAGGGAAGAGACTGGACAAAGGGGGGGCTGTGGCGGGAGACAAGGACCGGATAAAGAGAAAAAAAAAACTTCTTCAAGGAGACGGCAGGGGAAGAAACATAGTGGAGCGTAATAACAGAGGAGTAGGGGGGGGGGAAAGGGCGGGAAAAATTAGCAATCGCGAAACCCCCTGCTATGTGTGTACCTCGCTCCACGATCCGTGCTGTCTCTTTATCTGTACCAGACAAACTCCATACGTTCATCGCAAGAATAACTCGTGGGGGGGGGGGGCTACCTCATTTCTCGTCGTCGACGTGTAACGGTTCAGGAAAGCCTCCTCCGTGGGGCTCCAAAGGTGCGCAATTGCCTTCCCCGACTCGGCGTCGTCCGCCCACGCTTCGAGGCGCTCGTACTGCTCCGGGGTATACACCTGTTTTCGTCGATCGTAGTGGTCAAACACCGGCCGCTGATTTCTAACGCAGCCTGGCTAGTTTACAGATCCGTACTGGGTTCGGGGCAAGCGGGCGTTGGTGGTAGAGTTACTACCTCTTGTTTTCTATTTGTTGTTTTCTTGTCTTGTTCTTCATCGTGTTTCTCCGTGCAGTGAGACATCCCACCACGGCGCAATGCGAATCCTCTCCGCGGCGGGACACAAGCGGAGAGGGACCTACGCAAGGCAAGGACGCCACCATGGCAGCGGCGCCTATGCCCATGGCGAACAAGGGAGCATATAGCAGCACAGACTGGTACGGGGGTTACGTAGCCATCTCTCGCCTTGGTTTGCCAGCCGCTCCGCGTGGCCTCCAGGATCCCCGCCAGCTCCAGCAGCGCTTTGTCCGACCGCATAAGGGCCGCGTTGAACTGGACATCCTGTTGCGTGGAACACGGTTGTTTGTTCCAGATTGAACGAACGAACGGGCCACGGAAGGATAGCACGGCGGATTTTACCACGTGCCGCGAGCGAGGCGGGTGTCTGAGGTTTCGAGATCCGCCTCCTTTGTTGGTCGCAGACAGGCCGATGTGCCCTCCGTGTGCGTATGCTACTATTGGCGGAGGAGGACTACGACCGCAGAATACAAAAGAGTGACTCAACCTCCTTCCCTTCCCCCCTCACACGCCCTTTCTCTTCTCTGGAACACTCGTGTGCATACAGGTCCCCGTGTGATGCACCAAGGAGATCGCAAGGCGCTGTTGGTGCAAGGGTTCAAAGTGCGCCGCATCCACAAAACGTGCTCGACAAAGCAATGCTGAATCTGTCCGCACTGCTGCTTTACTGCTGCTAAAGCTTGCACCAGCGCGCGAGTGCCAATTTTCGTGGCGATTCGAACCGCTCGCGGTCCACGCGCCCTCCCCCCCCCTCGCGCGGATAACCTATCACGCCATATGGTGTAGAGATACCCTACCTGCAGCAGGAACGGACACTCCCGCTGTACGTCCTCGTCGACACGGCCGTGCCGGGCAGAGCAGTCGGACAGGAAGATGGCGGCCTGAAACGCTTTTTTGCCCGGAAACCCGGCCACCGAGGACACAGATGATGGGATCGGCGGCGGCACCCAGGACTCCTTCGTGGCTTGTGCTCTTGTCCAATCAGCGACCGGGAAAGAGAACGACCATCAAAAGGCAATGCGGTGGGGGGGGGGGGGGGGGGTACTCATGTTTTGCATGCGTTCGCGGTTAGACCGCGCGTTCTCGAGATGACGGGGAAACGTTCCCACAGGATCGATCACCGGTGGCCACTTGCTCCTTCCTACTTTGCCAAGGGGGAGGGGAGGAAAACCAGACGTGCGGCAAGTCTCCGACCGGTTCTCTCGAGCTATCGCCACTGGCGTACCAACACAAGCATCGTAGCAGCAGCAACTGGCAGCGACAACGACGCAGAAGCAGGGCGAAAAAAACTCGACCGAAAGGGAGCCGAGCCGTCGGAACTCACCGCGCGTCCGCCAGCAGCGAGGGCCAAAGCGCCGAATCCGCGGACACTTCCGTCTCCCAGGGGTGGTGCACGTACACGAGGCCCGTCTCTGGATCGTTTCGGCTCCCGTGCAGGTAGTCGTGGTACCGGAACAGGGCCGGGAATAGGTCTTGCAGCCAAAGGCGGGCTTCGGCGTCCCTTTTCTCAGACCGGTCATATCGGCGAGCGGGCGACGGGGGGAAGTGGTGGTTAGACCAGCAAGTGAAAGAAAAAGGGTTGGGTGCGTAAGCTGTTCGCCCGCTGCCTTACTCGAAACGAGATGGTAGAATACACCAGGACAGCGGGGATACTGCTGCTGCTGCTGTTGCTGCTTGTTCGGGAAAAGGCTGAACCGCTTGTCGCTGATTCGACGGTAGAGCGTGCTTGCTCCCTGGATTCCGTTGGGGAATGAGCAGAGCGTACAGGCAGCTCGATGTCTGATGATCGTGTGTTGCGCAGATGACTCTCCAAACTACCAACAGAAGCACCGCCTCGGTGTACTGTACAACCCCCGAACCCAAACTCCCAAACAAGCCACCTGCAACCTTGGCTCATCCCGTCCTGTTCCATTCCATTCCTCCCCTTCCGTTCCCTTCCTTTCCTCTTACCTTCTCTCCCCTTCCCTCTACTTCCCTTCCCGCTACCCACCTGGGAGACAGGTCGAAGATCCGCAGCGCCGCCTCCGCATGTAGGGGAATCGCGGCCAGAGAGGAAGTGTTGGCGCCGCCCGCCGACTGTGCCGAGGAGGCGTTTTTATCGCTGCTACGGCCACCCCAACCCCCGGGACCCGGGAGGAACGATCCCCCGAGAAAATCGGCCTCGTAGCCCGGGGCGTACCTAACGGTAGGGACCAAACCGTTCTCCCACTGGCCGCGGAATATCGACAGCAGTTCCGCCTGCTTTGCGGAAGGCGTGGAGAGAGAGAGAGGGAGAGAATGGGAAAGAGAGAGAGAGAGAGAGAGTTTGTGGGATGGTATGTGTGAGGCAAAAAAATGCGGCCAGCTCAAAAAGTAAATCCCGCCCCCCGACCGAACCAAAGAGAGTGCGGCAGACGGATGCGGCAACACAGCAGCTTTCTTTCTTGTGCTTTGGTCGCCGAAATTGGGGAGAGGAAACAGCCAACGACGAGTGCACCCGCCATCCACACAACTCCCGAAGCCGGAGACAGCTGCGGTGGTTGTGCCGACGGACGTAACCCGACGGCAAGCGGGCACGACGTTTGGAGCTGATGACGATGGAGCGTATTCGCTTTAGGGCTGCGCACAGCAGTAGCTTTGGCCAACTGGTAGGACGTGTGCTACTACTGCTGTTGTGTTGTAGGCTAGTGTTGTGGTGTAGGACATCTCAGTGAGCAGGATCAGCAAGCAGCACGGCTTCCCGAAAGCTCGAGAACCAACGCGGGATAATTCGACTGTGACTTGAGTGCCGAATCGGAACCGTGCGACTTAGAACGCCCACAGGGACGCGCAGAAGCGCTCCGTTAGTTACATTGGGTAGATACCAGTGCCTCGCTTTCGGCTAAACGCGCCGGGATATCGAGAGAGAAGCACGGCGATGTGCGGGTGACCGTGACAAAAAGGTCCCCTCCCCCTCCACAAATTCTGTCTGTCGAGGACGACCTTCCTCTTTTACGTTTGATATCTACAAAGTGTGCACCCCTTTTATTTTTAGTTGGTCTGTTACCACGGAAGGTGCCCGCGTCATTTGGACGGTACAGATACTAGGAGATACCTGAGCATGGACCGAAATGACTAGTAAAGTTAAGACAACAAACACAACAACATTGGTGTAGATGAGGAGATGACCTGTCCCGGCGCAATTATATGACCCTCTCTGCCCGTGCCTTCCAAGCGGCCGTTCTTCGCGGTGTCTGTAGGCTCAAACGCGCGCATGCTGGGTGCACTTGGACTATGTTCGGTGAATGCAAATGTTCGGTGAATGCAAATAGTGTCCTTATCAATACTCCGGCCAGTCCTTCTTGTTTGGGCGCACGCTGGCACAACCAACCAACAAACCGAGTGTTGTTGTTCATGACGATGTCTGATTTCAGTGGCAGAGAACCCGGGTTCAAGCTCCTCCCCCCAACGTCTGCCTAGGACGACTCTCTCTCTCTCTCTCTCTCTCTCTCTCTCTCTCTCTCTCTCTCTCTCTCTCTCTCTCTCTCTCTCTCTCTCTCTCTCTCTCTCTCTCTCTCTCTCTCTCTCTCTCTCTCTCTCTCTCTCTTTCGCAGAAGGAGGAGTTGGTTGGTTGAAAGGTACGTGACAACGAGGCAGGGAGGGCGTCGTGCTGCTGACGGAATTTCCCCCCGGTGTGCCTTCGCCTGTGAGGTGTTTGTTTCTGCCCTGCTTCCAGCTGCATCGGCGTTCCGTTTTTTAGAGTTACACGCGGGATTCCGCCATCCGCTCAACAAATCCATCCAGGGTGCGATTCTACTACTGCTGCAGATCCATGTGAGTCCCCATATTGTGGCCCTCTCTCTCTCACCCGCGCCCGTTGTTGATCGACATGCGCCCAAGCTTCTGCCACCATGACCGATGTTGTGCTTTCCTGTGAGAAAGCAACCAATGAAACGGGGAGAAAGAGAAAGGGGATCACAAAACGCTACTATGAGGATTGGCAGATAAGAACGCGTTCTGCCCTCACGTGTGGCATGTAAAGGGGGCTGCATGCTGCACACTTGCCAAGAAAGAAGAGTGTAACCCAGTTTGATGCAGAGTCAGGAGATTTGAAAAAGTCGCCGGTTCCCTGTATGTTACGGAATTATCCACCTACTCTTTGCACGAAGTGTATATCGACAGCAGTAGTAGTCACTGGGAAGTGTATAGCGTTGATTGACACAACTACTGTGTGTGCAATCGGTTGGTTTGTTGTCAGGGTTTGCGCCATACCAGTACAGCCGTAGAGTTCCACCAGTTTTACATGTAGTTGAACTACAAGCAGGTGTCAGACTAAGTCGTTGTATGCCCCGGGTCGGACCCTGTAGGTTGCGTGGGATGCACGAAAACCGAGTCCCGTTACCCCAGAGAGCAAGCGCGCTTACCTGGTGAGCATCGATAAGCGGGGATGGGATGGTGGCCTCCAGCTCGTCCCGGTAGTTCTCGAGGAGCAGCCCGGCGGCTCCTTGCACCAGGGGAGACAAGCGCAACGCCGTTGGGCCATCTCCACCAAGCCCGGCGCTGGAGGAGCAGCGGAGTATTTGTAGGAAGCAGACAACCAGTGGGAGCCGCCACCGCAGCGACGGTTGTCCACGACGAGCTGACCCGGTCACACCAAGCTCATCGACGCCGTCGGCGCAAGACATGATGGTGCGCTCTGCTGCTGTTCCCGCGCCGCAAAGCAACGTGCCTCTTCGAAAAGGCAGCAGCAGTTGGAGATTTCAGCAGTTTGGTCACAGCGAACCTGTACGCACAGCAGTCAGTACTTTACGGCCGAATCCTTTCCGCTTGAGTTAGGCGGCATCGGCGGTCGGCCCAGACAGCGAGAGGGCCAGTGCGAGTGGCAGAGATCGCGAGATCCCGGTCAAGCAAGGGTCAAGCGACACACCACACCCAACCCAACACAAGACACGCGGCGAGATGTAGGGGCACCGTGAGATGAAAACTGGTTCAATTGACGAAGCCCCTTCGAGTGCCTCGCTGAGACTATGCCACACACACCTGCCCTAGCGTTGCTGGCTGGTGCATTGCGCTCGAGGATCACTGCATTGTTGGGCGACGACTCCGGTTGCTACTCCTGCGGCGTCACACGTCTCAGACTCTCCGTATCTTTGAACTCACTGGCTCGCTCCACTAAAAAGGGCTCTGCTGCCGCACCCAGAGGTGCACCCCGCATACCCGCGGTTTGACCTCGCCGACTGGTCGAAGCAACCAGACAGCAGCGTAGTAGGAAGCACCACGGGTTGCGATACAGCGACAGAAGTCTCAGCTAGCCGAGACTTGTGGTCGGTTGGAGTCGGCGTAGAGGATGGCTACCTTGGCGGACAGCTTTTTGGATGACTTGGACGAGCTTGGGGAGAGCTCGGACGAGGAGACCCAGGAGGACGGGGGGGGGGGAGGGGGTGCCTCAGCGGCGGGCGGGGCGTCCGGGGAAGGCGACCGCGACGATGACATGGAGGTGCGTGATACGAGAGAGAACGAGTCGGACAGGGCGGGCGTACGCCTTTTATTTTTTCATGGGTGTTGTTCGCGTGTTGGTTTTGGTGTCTCGACGATTTGGAGGAGGATTGATTGCGCCGCACCGACAAGGGCATGTGTGTTGAGGCGGTGGCTTCCTCTCGCGTGTGGCCCGTACGGTCGGGCGCGTACAGCATACAGGCGTTCTTTCATTCATAGTGTAAAGTTTGTCGTGATGCATTGCTGTTGTTTGTTTTTATTTTTGTGGGTCGCTGCTGTTCATTCTCGCGACGCGGCAACCTTGGCTTGCGGCGGCGACCGAGTTCGGGTCATGCCTGACATTCTGGGTCACCCCAGCTTGTCTGAAACGGACCAACGTCCCATGGTCTACTGCCGTAAGAGAGCAGCAGTAACCGCAGCGTGTAGCGGTGTGGGGAGGAGTTCGTTGCGCAGGCAGAAAGTGAGGGCGTAAACAGTCGCACTTGAGATCTCAGCGAGCAACAAGTGAGGGAGAGGAGAAACGAAAGATGGAGAGAGCCGGGCGGAGAGCGAGACAGACAGACAAATACAGACAGCAGTGGAACGGGCAAGGAACAGGGGTGAATGATTGAACGTTCGCGAAATGCTAGTATAACAGAGAAGATAACATACAGAGCTTGCATACTCTCGCTGGACTAGCTCTACACACATGCCGCCCCCGAGTTTGAATCAACCACACACCCTGCCAACCTTGGCTCTTGATCGACTCTCTCTCTCTCCGACCACCGCCTCTGCCGTTCGCTCTCACGAAACAGACAGACGAAGTCCCCACGGGAAGACGAAGAGACAAGGGTCTAGATGGAGCGGCTGGAAACGAAACGGCTGGGGGCGGCCAGGGCGGGGGCTCGGGGGCAACGGCGGAAGGCGGAGAAGGAGGAGAAGGGCTGGAGTCCACGCTAGGCCGGATAGGCGACCGCACGGTGGACTCCGTGGCCAAGCTTCGGAAGAGCGACCGCTTCAAGAGCCAGATGGTGAGTGAGCAATGGGTCGTGCACCGTTGAGGTCGTTGGGCGGCCGGTGGGGGGATTGTTGTTGTTGTTGTTGTTGTTGTTGTTACAGTTGTAGTTGTAGTTCTTGTCTTCACATTGAAAACCGTTCCGGTCTCCACTCAGTACCTTCTAATGTCCGTACTGGTCCAACTGACGCGGTCGCCTTCCGTGGTACTACCCTTTTATTTGCTTGCTGTCTGGTAGAGTAGTGGTCTATGCTGATGTCGTGGCATGAAGTTGGTGTCTAGATGTATTGGGGACAAGCAGCAGTCAGCGGTATGTCAATGCAAATGGTAAGTGCGGTTTGCATCGAGGTTGTGGGACGGGAGGGTTTTACACCGAGGAGGCGTTTCTTAGTAGGCTAGCACGTACGAAGGGTGGTTACCAACGCCTAAACATTTCTAATCACTTGGATTCCGTTTTCGACCCCATCTTGAAACGAATCCCACGCGACATACAGCAATAGACGGCGTCAAGAAACGGTACCACACATACGAATCACAGTACAACAAGGACACATGTTCATACCCACACGCGTGCACACATGGATTCGCGCCGGCTCAAGAATCACGCTTGAAACGCCGCCTTTACCCCAGGCGGAGATTGACGAATGCCTGAAGCGAGAGCCGGCCCCGAGAGTGGGAGCGTTGGAGGACGATCCCGAGTACAAGCTGGTTGTCGCCAGCAATGAGCTCATCCAGGTACATACGGGGGCAGAAGCGAGGAGAGGGGGGGGGGGGGGCAGCAACTGGGTTTGGTTCGTAGCCGAGGAAGAGATGCAATGGGAGAGCGAGAATGGCACGCGTGAGAGAGGTAGATCGAGAGATGAGTAGAGACAGACAAGCAGGCAGGCAGGCAGGCAGGCAGGCAATCAGATTGATCAACAGAGAGACAGAGAGACAGGCAGACAAGCAGACAGAGAGACAAGCAGACAGAGACAGACAGACGGACAGAGGAGTATGCTGTATTCCTGGCTGGCGACGGTCCCAGCCTTGTTCGAAGAGGCGGAGAGATGCGAGGGCCTGTATGACAATGGCGGTACGCTGCGGGCCCATCCATTCACCAAAGCGAGTTGCCCCCGCAGCCCTCGTTGTTGTTGTATTCGTTGTTATCAACTCCAGTGCTACAGAACTTGAACGGTGTGCATCTGTCTGATTGCCGGACGATCACAACCTCCTTCCCACCCCTTGGCTACACTGCCACACCCATCTACCAACGGGAGATGGGGTTGCAAGGATCCCCACGTTAATCGACATGATTTTATACGACACAGGGTTGGACGACTGGCACTCTTTCAAGTCGCACGTGAATGCCCTCATTGTAAAGACACAGAGTTGAACGACACGGGGTTGAACAACCGGTACTCTTTCAAGTCGCACGTAGACGCACTCATTTCGAACTGGGTAGCACTGGGCCTTATGGCCGAGCGGGAGCTTCTCGACGACCTCCTGTATCAGGGGAACGGACCCCGTTACCCGGCATGAACCTCATCCCCTCAGCACCGATGTTCTAACCCGTGACTTGTTGATGCGTGGTGCAGAATGTTGTTTCTTGTGCGTCGTATTCGTTTCTTGGTCCCGTTTTCGTTTGCCCTGGCTGCGCGCATCTACGTTTTTTTACTTTTTTTTGTAAACTTTACTACAAACACAGAGAGACTACCTGCCCGTTCGAGACATATCCACAGCAGTCGTTTGTTTACTTACCGACGTTTTCTCTCCCGCTGCTACTCTCTTATTGCCACATGTGTATGGTATGTTTTTCGCTTGGTCAGGACATCGACCCGGAAATGGTGGAGGTGCACCGCTTCGTGGTCGACAGGTACTCGCAGAAGTTCCCCGAGCTGGACAGTCTCATCCCGCAGCCGGCGGACTACGTCCGGACGGTGCAGGTCATGCGGAACGAGATGGTGAGAAGCATAGGTGTGTTGGTTTTTTCCGGGGCAACATAACAGGCAGTGTCACCAACAATGGCTGATAATAGCAGCCGGAAACATTCGAAACTTCTTGTTTGTTTCACGTGCGTGAGGTTGAGACCACGTGTCGTGCGTGCTGCACGCGCGTGTTGTTGCTGGCATTTTGCGTTGACGTTTGAGTGCTACGTTGGCAATCGGGTGCAGCTTCCCGTCCCCTCCTTTGGCCACGAACCCCTCCCCGCGTGATTCTGCTGTTCACTTGCTTCTATTGCTCCACATTTGTTGATAACATGCCTGTGACACTCGCCGAGATAATACCGTTCGTTCTGAATAGCGCGGAGAACAGAACGAAAATGCACATGGTAGAGATCAGAAGGCATGCAATGGCAAATATAACAACAGGAACAGAACCGACAACAATTTTACTTCAACGGCAACAGGTCCAACAGGTCCA